CAAAGCCACCATGTTTGTGGCAATTGTGGCAATGGAGTGTATGATTGGTAGGTCTAAGGATGTTTGTGTGTGCAAATGATCAATATAATAAAATTAAAAAAGGAATTTACAGAGCATAAATGTGTGCGTGCATGACAGCAAGTGTGGGTGGGTGAGCGTGTGCAATGTGCATAATTGCGTATGTCCCTAAAGCTAATTTATTTGCGTGTTTGTGAGCAACTGTGCGTGTGAGCCCTTCTCTGTCTGTGCGACAAGTGCGTGTGACCGCCTGAGCGCAAGCCGCAGTGAGTGGGAGCGTGCGCGTGTATGTGTGTGCGTGTGCGTTTGACCAAACTAAGGAGAGGCGGGTCGAGCAAGTTCACGGCTCACAGCTGTCAGTACGCTTCCACACGTCAGGCCAGCCAACGGAAGGCTTATGGGAAAGAGGCAATCTCTTAGTCACATATACCTCATCCACAACACACGCTCCTACATACAAGGCAACTTCCTGTCACGTACTGCACTCTTTCACTTCAACTAGGTGTCTCCAACAATACGCCTGAAAAACAACAGCCTAAGCTGGTTTGCTGGTCTCTCTGGTTGTAGAATGGTTTTGGTCACTTTTTAGCAGGTCAGGCTGGGAGACCAGCTGGCTGGTCAACTAAACCAGATAAGACCAGTCAACCAGACAGGTTTAGGCAGTTTTTTTTTTTTCAGTAGGGCATCATACCAGTCCCTCCCTTGCACAATTTTTTTTCTGTTTTCTCACTGAACTGCAAGCTCAGCTTAGCTGTACTCGGGTAAAGCATAAATGATTGAAACTGCTCAAGAGGTTTCAATGAAAAGTGGCATTAACCCACAGGGCAAAACCAGAAGCACTTACAGAAACTTAAGTCTGACATGTTCATTGTCAGGGTTGCAATAAAGCCTTTCCAGTTGTTCTTGAGAGTCATCCGATATGCTCTGCCAGATCTGCGTATCTGCTCTGCGGATTTGCCAGTGGTAAGGTAGAACGGTGTGATGCTGGGAACAGTCACTGCCATAGACACAAACGCCCTGGAGGAAATCCACACAGATCGATACAGCGTCCGCTTGATGCGTGTGATACTGGAGCTGGGTCAGGAGTTCAAACACTAGATCCAAAGAGGCCTCCTCGCTTTTATCCTGAAAGATCTCGCCCTCTTTGATGGCGAGGCAATTTGCACCCTGCAAAGTCTCAGTGGTGTAGATGTCATTTAACTTCGACCCTGAAACGTCAGAGGAGGGCGCCGCCTCGTCGCGCTCCTGGGGCTGGAAGCGTCGCTCATTAGCCTCTATTGACACCCGCTGAATATCCAACACCTTTTGTTCCCCCGCGAGCTCGCTCACGCCCACATCGGCGTCCGTGCTCTCCTCCTCATCCTCCTCCTTCAGGCACACCTGACTAATCCTCGCCTGCTTCTCTATGGCGGCGGTGCATATATTCCGCTGTGGTCGAGCTGGGTTACGCAGAACAAACACTCCGTCCCCTGACACGAGTGCGTCTGAGTTTAATAACGTGCTCAAAATAGGGTCCTCTAAAGCACGTAAGCATTTTGTGTCCAGTTTTCTCTGTGCGTGTTTCTTTTTGAAGTAGGGCTTCACTAACGGGATCTTGTTGGCGAGTCCCATCTGCTGCTCGGTGAACTCTCTGGTCCCCATGGGCAGACCTAAAGCGGGCACAGCGGTGTCAACTGCCTCCTGCATGATGCAAAAATGTATCCAGGATACCTATTCAAAAAAACAGAGCAACATGATTAATTTAATGTCTATAAGCATGGTGTGAGCTGGGGAGGATTGAGGTTCTGAAGTATATACAGTGTTTTATTTATTTACACAAATTTTGAAAAATGATCACTTAGGTTATATTTCACATTTGTCAGGACAGCGTGGCTAAACAGCTAGCGGAAAAAAGAGAAAAAAAATCAGTCGCGTTCACCTGAGGTTACTATAGCAACAAACGCCCCTTCCCATGTCTGACATCACATTATTAAAACATCACTGCCATTACCAGGGCCGTCCTTAGGGGGGTTGCAAGTGGTGCGGTCGCACTGGGCCCCGCGCTTGAGGGCAGTCCCCCGTCATACACCATCCCAGCTTCCCCCGCCATCCCGGGAACGCGATTGTGAATGGACCGAGGGGGCAGGGGCGTGTCTAGAGCATTTTAAATGAGGGGGCCAGTCGGGGGCACTGGCTCAAAAGAGGGGATTGTGGGTTGGGGGTAGAGGGTTGTGTTTGCGGAATGATGTATGTTAAAAGCACACGTCCAGTTTTGTGTGAGTGAAGGAAATCCGCTTGGGAGTGGAGAGATTCGTCCTCGCGCACATGGATCGCGTAACATTATGCGCTCTCGACACTGTCATTAAGATCACACTATAGAAACTGCCTAAAATTAGAAATATACTAAAAACAAGCCTATGGCAAGACATCTGGTAGGGGGGTCACCTGGGGTGGCCAGCCAAATTTCAGGGGGGGCCGGTGCCACCCCTGGCCACCACGTAGACACGCCCCTGCGAGAGGGGCCCCGCTCCTCGTAGGCTACCTGCGTCAGCTAAGGACGGCCCTGGCCATTACTTATCACTTTACATAGATTTAAACGTTTATTAAATGTTTAGTGTTTTGTTTAACACTTCTTTATGTTAGTTAACGGTTAGCTGCGAGTGCAAGAGGTGCAAAAGACACTACGAGATTAGAATTAAAAACCTGACTCTCCTATAGGCCTATGTCATCGAATAATTCGCTCACTGTCTACAATGTTTATTCTTCTCATTTTGTCCACTCGTAATGTATACTGTGTACACTGCGTGACTTGTTTATCATGTACACCTTTTGTACACATTTTCTCAGAGTGTACAAGTGTTCAAAACGACACATTACAACGGCATTAAATCGCATTAGACATGTATCAATAGGCTTGATAATGTGTGCTATCAGTTCACTCCTTGACGGGCATTAGTGGGTGATGAATCAATTCTTTTAACTGGGCGTAAGATGAAACCTTTCCTTTCTCGAGAAGAGAGAGGAGGTGGCATTAGTGATGAAACAGAAAGTTTCTTTCAAGACCACCCCCCCCTCCCCCAGCAAACTGTAAAATATGTATTATTATGATAACAACATCGTTGTTCCTACGCATTTAACCTGTAACAATCATTTGTGTCGTTTTCCTCGCGTTACGTGTTTTTTTGGACGTTTCAACAAGCCTTTTAACTATACATAAACAAAAGTGAACGAAAAGGTGACATGAACTTACCAATGAAGGTTATAACTTGGGTTTAATACAATTTCAGAAATTTAGGACAGCAATCAAAATTAAGCTTTCATTTCTTACCTTTCTTTCACTGCGTACAAACACCAACCACAAGCGCAATGGTGATTTAACGCATCCAATATCATAAACAAATATAATAAAAAAAAACAAAAACAATATGCGTCTTGATTTATCCTTTGCGAGCTATTAGCACCGTTTAATTACGCCGCTCCTCGCGATAAAAATCAGTCAAACGCAGGCCAAACGATCTCTCGGGAGTATTTTGGATGGCTTGATCTAGATACTGGAGCTGGGAGCGTACGTGCCAGTTGCCAATAGCTGCTCGTTCGAGTTCGCACGTACTGCCTGTGTTAAAGCGATCACTGCCCACTGCGGCGCCTGGCCTCCATTCTTCAACAAACACGAGAACGCTACATTACAGCCAAATCTACCACTGCACAAAGATCGGGTTCAGTCAAACGATTTATTAAGTCCAATTTCAGCCTTTTCCCCGTGGATTAGGCTCGGTTAAACGCTATACATATTCCGGATCCTTTCCAAATGTACCTGTGAAACTTCCCGAATCCTTTGATTCTACTGTCGAAGCCAGTAGCCCGTCCCGGGGAATTCGCACTCTCTCATACAGGACAGACAAAGCGTTCATCCAGAGCGAAGCGTAAACGTCCGTCTCCAGGAGCTTCTGGGCGGCTCGCAGCTGTTTGCAGAACACAAGCGCGATAAGACTCGCTCGTCCAATCACAGCGCAGTGTGGAGCGCGAAGGGGCGGGGCTTTGGCTTCTGATGGAGCGGAGGGAGGGGGAAAAATCAGGAGGTTGTCCGATGCATGCATGTGTTTTGACCTGGTTTTGACTCACCCCGCTAGAAATCATCAGGTATTGTAATTATACGGCCTAAGCTGATTCGTGTTTAAAAAAAAAAAAAAATAGTAGAGGAAAAGTGAACAATCATACGGGGGTCTAAACCACAAACATCCAACAAAGAAGTGGGTTTAGGGCCGTTTAAGGAATGTGGTCTTTGGGAATGTTTGGAAAATTAAACGTAGACATCACTTTAAAAGACCAAATAAGCATGTAAATTATGTATATGTTTAATCAGTGGTTCTCAACCGGTTTAGGAAGATACACTGGACATCAAATGGCGACCCAACACATTTCTATAGTAATTGTTTATCATAAAAAAAAACATTGTCACTAAAATAATACAGCAAAATGTAGGAGCCCAATGTGATATACGCTGAAAAATGTAAAGTTAATGCATGTTGTAAATGCATAAACAACATAGCCAGATACACTAAACAAACACTATAAGACAAATATTCCGTAACATACTTTAGAAAATAACAGTAAATTATGCATAATTACAAGTAACAAATCCTAGTAAGTATGCTGTTAATTAATATTTCTGAATAATTATTTGTGTTATAACACTGTAATAAGGGCACCTTCAAATAAAGTGTAACTAAATATTGTATTGGGTTGTGACCTGCCAGTTGGAAACCCCTGCCATAAATCATGTTGTGATGTGTGACTGAAATGAGGTGAAAGGTTATTCATTGCACTAATGACATAAACTGTTTTTTACAGCAACTTTACTCCTTCACTCATACAAACTGCAAATGAA